GCGCGTGCTGTTCGGCGAGGGGAAGGGGTAGCCGGTGCCGCCGATGGCGTCGGCGCCGTAGGCGGAGAAGCTGCGCACGCTGGCCGGGGGGGAGAAGGGGTTCTGCGCGGTCTGCTGGGAGGCGGAGAAGTTGGTGGAGAAGGAGGCGGAGGCGTTGGCGGTGATGGTGGAGGTCGTAGAAGAGGAGTGGACGGGCGGGGTGAGGAAGGAGAGGCTGCGCGGGGTGACGGGCTGGGAGCCGGGGCTGGGGGGCTCCGAGTCGTCGTTGCCGTTGCGGGTGCCCTGTGCAAAGGGGGCGTGGGGCGGGGTGAAGGAGAGCGGGGCGGGGCGGGCGTGGGCCATTCTGCTCTCTGTTGGTACTGGACTTGGACCAAGTATTCCTACTTGCAAAGACGCGCCGTGCCTATAAGAGGCGATCGAGATCCAGGCCCGTTCCGCGTCCAAGGTGCCACCGGCATGACCACTCGCTGGTTATCTATCCCATCAAGGGGTCCGATTCGACAAGCAGCAGGCTGCTGGCAGTTGCGTACATGAGTACAGCCGTGGAAAGGGGAGAAGCGCGCGATCTGCATCCGGAGCAGATCTGGATTCCTCTTTTGCCATCAGAATCCCCATCAGAATCCGGCGTTTCATTAAGCGTCGGCTCCAGCGGAACTATTTCTTTAAGCCCGTGAGCGTGGGAGGATCTCCCTCCCTTGTACTGCGTCTGGGCCTGGGCTTTGTCTTTGGCTTGTCTTCCATTTGTTTCGAGTGAGGACGGCATATCGTACTGCGCCTTCCATACACCGACAGCCCACGCTGCACCGCACGCCCAAAAATTAGCTCACCACGCGGCGCGGACCCGGACGCGAGTTGCTTCCCTGCCGCGATTTTGAGTTTCCTCGACAGACGCCGGCCTACTCTCCTCGACAGACGCCGGTTTAATTTCGTAGACAGACTTTTTTTTTTCTCGACAGACGCCGGTGCCCGAGTTTCGCCGGCAAGTTTTCTCGACAGGCTGAACACAACCCTTATCGCGAGCTGCCCTGCCCCTGCCCCTGGGCGCATAGCGCACAGCCCACTTGGTTAGCCGTCCGCGTCATTGTCAATTCACCCGACAGTACGCACTGCGCGCTCAAATCGTGATGCACGTCCTATCGATAGTGAACATTTATAAATATTTCGCGTCATTCGATAGTGGATGGCCGAGGCCTAGGGCACCCGGACAGCTGGGAGTGTTGGTATTGCAACAAATTCATTGATTCGAGCGCGCTCCACCTAGGCAGTTGTCAAGTACCCCCTGTCCCAGGCGCATTACCCTCAGGCCCAGTTGCGATGACCCTCAGGCCCAGTTTCGATGACCCCCAGGCCCAGTTTCGATGACCCCCAGGCCCGAGTGGAGTGCGTTCGAGGTGGAGCCTTTCAAAATTCGACAGCTCTTTTGTGTTCGACAGCAAGAACGGAAGCGCGTTCGCTGCCCGAGATGCCCGATGCTCGATGCGATATTCGATACTCGTACGACGGGAGCAGAAATTCTTCTAATTTCTTATCCGCGTGGACGGAATATTCTCGCGTTCTTCCTTCGCCCATTCCTTGGAGCGCGTCCTCGACGATAATGATAAGCGGCAATATGCGATACTCGATGCTCGATGCTCACAACACAACTATATCGAAGCGGGCAGAATTTCCTCTCTAATTTTCTACTCCGGGTGAATTATGGGACGCCCCCGGCCACCTTCCCGGCTGTCCGCTTTTCAGCCAACAAGCCCATCGACCTACTCTACCTTCGTGGACCAGAGTATTTCGGACGGCGTTTCGTCCAAAATAATCTCCTCCGGGGACGTCTGCGCTCTGCGGCCATATCCTATCTGCGGCGCCCGGGAAATTTTCTGTCCATGATGCTCGCCTGGAACATATATAATTATAATTCCCCCATCCCCATCCCCATCCCATGGCTCGAACTTGAAGACGCCCGAAAAAAGTCTGCGCGGCGCGATTTACTCTATGTATGACTTCTCCAGTTGTTTTACTCTATCATTCTGGGGCCGGGGATAAGGCTCGGGATAAATCAACAGCTCAATTTTCGAGGGCTGATTTCCTCTTACTCTTACTCTACTCTATCGCGGACAGCCGGAAAAGGTGGTGACCGGGCAGAATATTCCCGCGCTTCCTGCGCCCCGGCGGGTGCGTTCTTTCGTGGAGCTCGACTTCGCGCATCCCTTCTAAAGGTCGGCATCGGCGATAACGCCCACAACACGAATTTTAATATTTATTGAAGCGGGCGGAAATTCCTGCGTGGGTAGGCCGCGCAGAATATTCTCGCGTTCTTCCTTCGCGCAGTCCGGTGGAGCGCGCCCTCGATAAACGGCAATATGCGATGCTCGATTGGGACGCGAGGAGAAATTTCTACGTGTGGGTACGCCAGGCGGAAAATTCTCGCATTCTTCCGACTCGGTGGAAAATTCTCGCGTTCTTCCCTCGTGGAGCTCGAATATTCTTTCGCGATTCCGGTGGAGCGCATCCTCGATAAACGGAAATATGCGATACTCGATACTCGACGCTCATAACACGATCATATTGAAGCGGGCAGAAATTCCTGCGTGGGCACGCCGCGCAGAATATTCCAGAATATTCCCGCGCTTCCTTCCTCCACCCCGTACGGGTGCGTTCTTTCGTGGAGCTCGAATATTCCTTCTCAAGGCTTCTCAGGTCGGCATCGGCGATACGCGGAAATACGGGGCGGAGAGCCGACTCGCTTGCGACGAACAGATTTTCTTTTTCTCTTGGGTGGGCAGATACTGACTGGCACGATAAGACGAAACAACGGATTTTGTTTCGGCACGATACGCGGGCTGAATTCCTTTTCGCACGATACGCGAGCAGAGCAGAGTTCACCGGTGCGCGACGGGCAGTACTAGTAGTTCGTAGGCGACGGCTAGCACGTAGTTCGTAGGCGAACAGATTTTCTCTGTTGAAGTCCGAGTCGCGTTGGGCAGATAGTTGTACGCGTACGTACGCGCGATAAGGGATAAGGCAGTACTCGATAACCGAGGGACGCGAGCAGAATTTAAAGTTTCAACGCACCGGGCGAGCGGAATTCATCGGGGCCCGGCCTAACTTATTTCCCAGGGGCGGGGACGCGAGCAGAATTCCGAGTCTTCTTCAACGCGAGGCGGTGCTGCCACGCAGACGGACGGATTTTCTCTGTTGAACGAAACGCGTGGGTTTTGGATTTAGATTCGGACAGATCCTGGCATTTGGCACGCAAGACGGTGCGATAACTATAACCGAGGGACGCGAGCACTTTGCTTCACAGCCCGGCGCGGTGCGACGGCTAGAACGCACACACGCACGTACTTCATAGGCGAACAGATTTTCTCTGTTGAGCGCGTGGATTTTGGATTCGGACAGATTTTGGCATTTGGCACGCAAGTAGCACGCGAGAGGGTGCGATAACTATAACCGACGGACGCGAGGTGAATTTATTTTTTCAGCGCACCGGCCGAGCAGAATTCACCGGTGCGCGACGGCTAGAACGCACGCACGCACGTACTTACGAACAGATTGTTCCTCCCGAACGAACCGCGTGGATTTTGAAATTTTGGACTCGGACAGATCCTGGCATTTGGCACGCAAGAGGGTGCGATAACTGTAACCGAGGAACGCGAGCATTTTACTTCACAACCCGGTGCGGTGCGACCATTATTCCGCGCGCGCCGACGCGGATTAATCGAAAGCTAGCACCTGGTGGGACGCGAGCAGAATTCAGTATTCGAAAGTGATTACTGGAGCTGCTAGTAGCCAGTATTGTCAGGGCCAGACAAAAAAGGTCAAGGGGGGTCAAGAATCCTTGACCTGTCAAGCAATTAACGGGTCTTTGACGGGTGTTTGACGTCGCTGTTCTTCAAATGTTTTTTTTTGAAGACCTGTCCCGATCGGGTGTTCAAACGTTCAAGTTGTTCATCCGGAAATTCCGGCCCGTGAGTTTCGTCAGACAAAAAAAAAGCTTGACATTCTCCTAAACCTGTCATTGTCAAAAATGCGTCATAAACGCGTCAAGGACAACTGCTTCTATTAACCGCGTGGAAAGCGGCGGATGGCGGAGTCGGGGGGGGGGGGGTCATCGACGACTGGGACGCGAGGAGAACTTGCCTGCGCGAGCAGAACTTACTTGTTCCACCTATTTATTCGCACTACTACTAGGCGCTGGCGCCTGGCAACAACTATGACTACGACTAGACTAGGTTGTGCGCGGGAGACCTACCACTCGGACCGCGCGGGCGCGATGCAAACTTAATCGACGGCTAGCAGTGAAGTAATCGTCGGCTAGCGCGGGTTAATCGACGGCTAGCAGATCAATAATCGACGGCTAGCAGCGAAGTAATCATCGGTTAGCCGCGAAGCCTCCCACAGTCAGACTCCAAATAAAATAAAATAATGGCAGTCGATTATTTTTATTTTAATCATCGGCTAGCGTGCACACCAATGGCACGCGTGCAGAATTAGAACTGTGCAGCTAACGGAGGGCCGCGTGCGCGTGTGGAATTCCAGCCATACGGGGGGGCAGGATGCGAGGAGAACATTTTCGGTGTCAGCGCTCCGTAGTTGATGCATCAACGTTCAACCTGTGTTGACGACGATGACCATTGACAGATGGGGCGCGTTTGGCAGCGATAAAATAAGCGCGGTGAGTAATAACAGCGTTGGGCAGCGATAGCAAATAAAGCGCGTTCGGCAGCGATAAAATAAGCTCGGTGGTCAGCGATAGGAAATAAAGTGCGGTCAGGGATAGGAAATAAAGCGCGGTCAGGGATAGGAAATAGAGCGCGTTAGCGATAGGAAATAGAGCGCGTTAGCGATAGGAAATAAGCGTGGTGAGCGATAGTAAATAAAGCGCGGTCAGCGAGAACAAATAAAGATACGACAAGTATAGTCCCTCCGTTCCCCTTTGAGCCCGGACACGACACTGCCGTATGAGCTATGAGCTATGAGCTAGTAATTTAAAAATAATAATAATATCAGGACCCAGCCCGGAGTCGAACCGGGGGCTCCTGCTCTATTTTTTCAACGCCACGCAAGAACCAAGAAAGACAGGTGTGATCCGTTCACTACTGGGTCTCTTTTCATGCCTTCTTAGCCTCGCTTTGTGCCATACTTTTGTGTTGAAAAAAAATAGGGGAAAAAAAGGCGTGAGGCGATATGACCCAGCCCGGAATCGAACCAGGGCTCCTGCTGTCTTTAGCTCTGGTGATGCAGACAAATAAGAGAGAGCAGGTGTGATCCATTCACCACTGGGTCTCTTTCACTACCCTTTTAACCTCTGATTATGCAAGACTTTGTGCAGAATTCACAAAGTAGAAAAAAAGGAAATAATGAGGACTGTGTGACCCAGCCCGGAGTCGAACCGGGGGCTCCTGCTTTTACTAGAGAAACTAGGAACAAAGAAAGCAGGTATGATCCGTTCACTACTGGGTCTTCTTCCCTCTTCTCTCAACCTTGCTTTGTGCTGTATTTTTGGGCTGAATTCAAGTAAAAAAAAAGGAGGAAGGAAAGCAGATTATGACCCAGCCCGGGGTCGAACCGGGGACTCCTGCTGACAGCTCCATTCATCTCGCAGAAGAAGCAGGTGTGAGCTGTTCACCACTGGGTCTTCTTCCCTCCCTTGTCAACCTTGCCTTGTGCCGTATTTTTGTATTGAAAAAAAAATCCTCAACCTCAAAGTTTCATGACCCAGCCCAGAGTCGAACCAGGACCCCCGCTTGCATATATGTCAACACCAGTGTAATCCATTCACTACTGGATCTCTTTCCCTCCCCTCTCAGCCTCTATTTATGCTGCATTTTTGGTCCAACTCACGAAGCAGGAAAAAGTAAATAAAATAAAATAAAGAGAAATGACCCAGCCCGGAATCGAACCGAGGCTCCTGCTGACATCCTGCCTGCCATGTACAAAGAAAGCAGGCATGATCCATTCACTACTGGGTCTTCTTCCCTTCCTTCTCAACCTTGCTTCGTGCCATATTTTTGTGTTGAAAAAAAATATCTTCAACCTCACAGTATCATGACCCAGCCCAGAGTCGAACCGGGGGCTCCTGCGGAAATTTGTGTTCGTGGCAGGGACAGAGAAAGCAGGTGTGAGCCGTTCACCACTGGGTCTCTTTTCCTACCTTCTCAACCTCACTTCATGCTGCATTTTCGGTCCAACTCACGAAGCAGAAAAAAGTAATAGAAAAGAAAAAAAGAAAGAAAGAGAAATGACCCAGCCCGGAATTGAACCGAGGGCTCCTGCCGAAATTCGTGTTCGCTAGGCACAAGGAAAACAGGTGTGATCCATTCACCACTGGGTCTTCCTCCCTCCTATTTCAACCTCTATTTATACCACACTTCTTTGGGTTGGATTCACAATGCAAGGTAGGCAAAAAAGAAGAGGGAGCAGAAAATATGACCCAGTCCGGAGTCGAACCTGGAACTCCTGCTGACTTAGAAGTGCAATGGAGAAGGGAAAGCAGGTGTGAGCCCTTCACCACTGGGTCTTCCTTCCTCTCCTCTCCACCTCTATTTATGCAAGGCTTTGTGCAGAATTCACAAAGCCAGAGAAAAAAGCAGACAAAGCAGACACATGACCCAGCCCGGAGTCGAACCGGGGGCTTCTGTTTTTACTGGAGAAACTGGGAACAAAGAAAGCAGGTGTGAGCCGTTCACTACCGGGCCTTGTTCCCTACATTCATAACCTGGCTTCGTGCTATATTTTTGGGCTGAATTCACAAATCAGATGCAATAAAAGCTCCTGACGGCCACCTACATGACCCAGCCCGGAATCGAACCGGGGCGCCCGCCGAAATTCAACAGGTGATTCTGAAAGGGCAGGCAAAGAAAGCAAGCGTGATCCATCTACCGCTGGGTCTTCTTGTCTACTCTGCATGGCTCTACTTCAGCTAGAGCATTTGATCGAACTAATCGGCGGCTAGCGGGACGAGGTAATCGACGGCTAGCATGGAGACGGTAGGACGCGATTGTCTAAGGGCATTTTTTTCGACGATTGGCCGATCGCGACTTGCACGCAACTGCACACGAATTTAGAATTCAACTCTGAGTCTAAACCCTCTGAGTCTGCGCTGTCTGAGTGCTGTAGTGTATAGAAACGAAAAAAAGGAACTTACTCCGAATGATGACCCAGCCCGGAATCGAACCGGGGCTCCTGCTGATATCATATACCGTTCTTATGGAAAGCAGGTGTGATCCATTCACCACTGGGTCTTCTTCCCTCCCATTTCAATCTCTATTTATGCCACACATTTTGTGGTGAATTCACAAAGTAGAAAAAAAGGAAATTGGGGCTGTATGACCCAGCCCGGGATCGAACCGGGACCTCCTGCTGCACATTTCTCGTCGACAATTGAAGAAAGCAGGTGTGATCCGTCACTACTGGGTCTCCTTTCAACCTCTATTATTCAGAGAACACTTTTTTGCAGTTGGGTTCACAAATCAGCACGCGCACAGAATTCTTACTTGCTGCGCTACGCGAGAACTTACTTGCTGCGCGACGCGAGTAGAACCTCAGAAAGGGATCCGGCTTTTCATTAGCATCGGCTACAGCGGAGCCATTTCTTTAAACTCGTGAGCGTGGGAAGATCTCCCTGCTTTTGTCAGCCCTTGTACTCTCGGCCGTCCGTGAGTTGCTTCCTTGCGCCTCGGTTTTTAGTTTCTTCGACAGACGCCGGCCTAGACGCCAGCTTAATTTCCTGGACAGATACCTGCCTATTTTTTTTTATGCTGGACAGACGTCAGCCCACTTTCCTCGACAGACGCCGGTGCCCGAGTTTCGCCGGCGAATTTTCTCGACAGGCTGAACACAACCCTTATCACGAGCTGCCCTGTCCCTGCCCCTGGGCGCTTAGCGCATAGCCCATTGGCCTAGTTGCTAGCCGCCAATCCAATCCATCCGGCAGTTGGGCGCGCGCGCTCAAATCGCAATCGATGGTGAAAATTAATAAATTAATATTCGCGTCCTATCGATAGTGAATAACCGAAGGCCGCCCGGGCAGTTGGGAGTATTGCAAGTTGCGACAAATTCATTAATTCGAGCGCAAGCGCGCTCCACCCAGGCAGTTGTCATCTCCTCTCTGTTCATTAAATTTACTCCCCCCCTCCTTCCCCTGACCCAGCTGCATTACCCGCAGGCCCAAGGCCCGAGTGGAGTGCGTTCGAACGCGAACGGGTGGAGCTCTCTTTCAAATTTTCCATTGACATTCGACCGACAGCACGAACGGAGGCGCGCGTGCGCACACTCGCTGGCCGATACTCGATACTCGATGCGGGCGGGACACGAGCAGAAATTCCTGTGTGGGTACGCCGAACATACAGAATATTCTCGCGTTCTTCCTTCGCGCATTCCTTGGAGCGCGTCCTCGATAAGCGGCAAGCGGCAATATGCGATACTCGATACGATACGATACTCGATACGATACAATACTCGATATGATACGACGCGAGCAGAAATCCCTCTAAATTTTCTCCTCCGTGCGGCCGGAATATTCTCGCGTTCCTTTTTCCGACTCGGTAGAAATTCCACATGGCGTGCGTTCTTCCTTCGTGGAGCTCGAGTATTCCTTCGCGCATTCCTTCGCGATGCCGGTGGAGCGCGTCCTCGATAAACGGAAATATGCGATACTCGATGCTCGACGCTCACAACACGATTATATTGAAGCGGGCAGAAATTCCTGCGTGGGCACTCCGGGCAGCAGAATATTCTCGCGTTCTTCTTTCGTGGAGCTCGAATATTCCTTCTCAAGGCTTCTCGAGGTCGGCATCGGCGATAAGGCGGAACGCGGAACGCGGAAGCAGAGCCGACGCGGGTGCGAGTTGTTGCGCAGACGAACAGATTTTCTTTTGGTGGGCAGGTTCTGGCACGATAAGACGAACGAACAGATGGTATTCGCATGATACGCGGGCTGAATTCATCGGTGCGCGACGGCCAGTAGCTCGTAGGCGACGGCTAGCACGTACTTCGTAGGCGAACAGATTTTCTCTGTTGACCTCGTCTCTACATACCGAACGAAACGCGTGGATTTTGGGTTCGGACAGATTCTGGGGTTTGGCACGTAAGAGGGTGCGATAATTGAGGGACGCGAGCAGAACGAATTCATCAGACCAACAGATTTTCTCGAGTCGCGTTGGGCAAATTTTCTCGAGCCCCGTTGGGCAGATAGTGGTACGTACGTACGCGTACGCGCGATAAGGGATAACTCGATGACCGGGGACGCGAGCACAATTTAAAGTTTCAGCGCACAGGGCGAGCGACGGCTAACACGTAGGTACTTCGTACGCGAACAGATTTTCTCTGTTCAACTCGTAGGGCGTGGGTTTTGGATTCGGACAGATTCTGGCATTTGGCACGCAAGTAGGCGCGATAACTATAACCGAACAGACCTCACTTACTTCACAACCCGGCGCGGTGCGACCATTATTCCGCGCGCGACGGCTAGCACGCACGTACTGTAATTAGTAGGCGAACAGATTTTCTCTGTTGGACTCGTAGGGCGTGGGTTTTGGATTCGGACAGATACTGGCATTTGGCACGCAAGTAGCACGCGAAAGGGCGCGATAACTATAACCGATGGACGCGAGCGGAATTTAAAGTTTCAGCGCACCGGGCGAGCGGAATTCATCGGCGCGCGACGGCTAGCACGTTGGACTCTGGCGCGAGCAGAACGAATTCATCTTCATCTTCACCCCGACACGGCACTCCAACTATAATTATTCCGCCCGCGGGACGACGCGCATGCCGACAGTGCTAAGGTGAACGGTTGCTACGTGCAGGCGAGCAGAATCGACTGGGCGGCGCGGGCAGAATCGGTGTGAGTGGGACGAGTATGGAAGCAGATATGGATTGAAGGACGCGAACAGAATTGAATTGAACCCGCGTGCATTTATGCCGACTACGACTAGTACTAGTATTAGCGCCTAGTAACGACTACTAGGCCGCGAGCGGGAGAGGTGATCAACACCCGGTACTAGTAGCGGGGGCGCGGGTGCGATGCGAATTAATCGACGGCTCGCGGACCAGTTAATCGTCGGCTCGCGACCAGTAATCGACGGCTCGCGGACCAGTTAATCGACGGCTAGCAGCGAGGTAATCGACGACTAGCGCAGAGGTGGTGGGACGCGCGCAGAATTAATATGGTGCAGCTAACGGCGGGCCGCGTCCGCGTGTGGAATTTCAGCCATACGGGGGGCAGGATGCGAGGAGAACATTTCCGGTGTCAGCGGTCTGGAAACCAACGTTCAAACGTTCAACCTGCGTAATTGAGTTGAGGCCAGATCAACACTCGTAGTGGCCGAATCACAAGCAACAAACAAACAGTGTTTGTATTTAGCAGTAATGTCAGGGTGGTGTAGGACAGCTCTTGCAAGACTTGTCTTTCCCATGCCACCTGCTCCAAGAATAGCTATTCTGGGTGATTTTTGGAAGAGATTCTTCACAACGGTTTCAACTTCTGATTCACGACCATGAAAATTTGTGGTTGTGAAGGTAGCATTGAAAAGGAAGCTGAGCTAGACAAATAAACTATAAGCATGAATTCAGCCATCTATTTACTCAGATCATACCTGGCCTGAGAGGCATTTGTCATTGTATAGATCTAATTCTCATATAATGGGTGGTTGGGTTATAGAGGAAAATGCAACTCACAGAGGATGATCTGTCAGAATTTGTGCCATCTAAAAAAGTGGCAACCAATTCCAGCAATTCCTTGTGCATATCTTCGCCTTTGTTCTGCATCTCAGCAATGTTGCTAAGGATGGTGACACCAGCCTCAATCTAAGACATTTAAGAGGTATGTGCTGGCGAGCATTACAGATGGCAGAACTTGCCTTGAATACTTCCAGAGCCTGCTGCAGTCCGATGTGACAATCCTTCAGTAGAGTTGTCTCACTGTAGCGGAAGAAGTGTTTGATGTTGTTTCCCTCCTGTTGTGCTTCAATAAAGGTGTATATCTTACAGAGTGTTCTAGATCATGTCAGCAATACTTCAATCTTCAAAAAATGATAGATGCACTCTGTGAATTTTCCGAGATGACGTAATGTTACTGGTGGCAAGACTCCTGCAGACTCAGGTTTCATGTGGAGACCAATGATAACATAGAGGAGCCGATGAATCTTCTCCATGAGCTGGGTACATTCCTCTTTATTTCTCTTCACGTTCTAGCTCACCACTTGAGCATGCGGGTAAGATTTTGAATGGCTCATCTCACCTCCATGACATGAATCAAAGATGCTACTGTGCTTGAAATAGACACTATAAATGGTGGGCTGAAAATGTCGTTGAGCTCATTTAAAAGGGTTATCATAGGATTCAACAAGATTATTATGTTGCTCGTGCGGGAACTGAGAGTGGTCTGCGGTGGCATGTTGGGAATGATGGGCAACACCACTGAAGATACAGAAGCTTTATATGTAGTTGGTGTCTTCTAAATTCATGTGATTCTTTGATCGGCTCCCATGATGTTCAGGTCTTCACCTTCCTGTCCCTTGGTCCCCAAAAAGACTGATAGAAGAATACTTCGTTCTCATGCAGACTTGAAGTATATGGTGCCGCCGACCCGGCTCTTTTAATTATCAAAGTGTGAAAGTACTGCTCAAAGCTCACCCATTCCAAGTTTAAACAGGGCATTACTATGAGAAGCGACTGGCACTGCAGCCTTCGGGGCAATGTCGGATGCAAAGATGTTCCTTCGTGAATCGCGAAGGTGTTGCCGGTGATTGCCGGGAGATGAGCTCTCGGCCGAGCCGGTGACACTTTTTTATTTATTCTGCATTTCTATACCACATGGGTGCCACACTGGGACGTGGCGAGCGCTGGAGAAAAAAGTGAGACCAACATCTATATCTACGCTGGAGCCTAAACTTGTCACAGATTCCAACTCTGTGGCCCGCGCTACAAGCGATGACGATATGAACCCAAGAATCTCCGAATTGGGGCGCTCTCTCAGTTCGCTGCGAATGGAAAAGGAGATACAGGAACATCTCGACTCCAGAACCCGGTCTCGACTTTGCCCAACCAAATCACGTCCGAGATTTTTATCCATTTCCTCCGACCAGTCCGTGCGTCCCTCTAATATCTATGCCTCCAAAACAACCAAAATTCTCTCGCCAACTACGCTCACTTATATATGCCATGGAGGAATATCTATCGTCTTGACCATTTCTGCCGTAATATCACTCTTCGAAGGAGAACTCGAGCCATAAGGTTCGTCAGC